ACTCATCAAACCCTCAACACTGGATTACTCATCAAACCCTCAACACTAGATCACTCATCAAACCCTCAACACTAGATTACTCATCAAACCCTCAACACTAGATTACTCATCAAACCCTCAACACTAGATTACTTAACAAACCCTCAACACTAGATTACTCATCAAACCCTCAACACTGGATTACTCAACAAACCCTCAACACTAGATTACTCATCAAACCCTCAACACTGGATTACTCATCAAACCCTCAACACTAGATTACTCATCAAACCCTCAACACTAGATTACTCATCAAACCCTCAACACTAGATTACTCATCAAACCCTCAACACTAGATTACTCATCAAACCCTCAACACTAGATTACTCATCAAACCCTCAACACTGGATTACTCATCAAACCCTCAACACTAGATTACTCATCAAACCCTCAACACTAGATTACTCATCAAACCCTCAACACTGGATTACTCATCAAACCCTCAACACTAGATTACTCATCAAACCCTCAACACTAGATTACTCATCAAACCCTCAACACTAGATTACTTAACAAACCCTCAACACTAGATTACTCATCAAACCCTCAACACTAGATTACTCATCAAACCCTCAACACTAGATTACTCATCAAACCATCAACACTAGATTACTCATCAAACTCTCAACACTGGATTACTCAACAAACCCTCAACACTAGATTACTCATCAAACCCTCAACACTAGATTACTCAACAAACCCTCAACACTAGATTACTCATCAAACCCTCAACACTGGATTACTCATCAAACCCTCAACACTAGATTACTCATCAAACACTCAACACTGGATTACTCATCAAACACTCAACACTGGATTACTTATCAAACGCTCAACAAGTCAAGTCAAGTCAATTTTATTTATAGAGCACAACATAAACACAAAATTTGTTAATCCAAAGTGCTTTACAGATGGTCAGATAAGTTAATAGAGAAAAAACTTATAATAATAGACTAATAAAAGAACATTTGTACATACACACATAAATACGCGGTGTAACATACACAGCATCACTCAAATGCAAGAGTATTAAAACGAGTCTTTAAACTAGATTTAAAAACGTTGAGCGATGGAGATGATATTAAAAGGTAAGCTGTTCCAAAGTTTAGGTGCAGCAACCGTGAAAGCTCTGTCACCTTTGGATTTGCAACGTGAACGAGGGACTGATAAAAGAAGCTGGTTACAAGATCTTAATGACGTAGAGGTTGTATATGGCTGGATAAGTTCACAGATATAATCTGGGGCTGATTTTTGTATGGCCTTATATACAAAAAGAAGAACCTTAAAATCAACTCTGAATTTGACAGGGAGCCAGTGGAGTGAAGCAAGAACAGGAGTGATATGCTCCCGTTTTTTTGTTCCTGTCAGCAATCTGGCTGCCGCATTTTGGACCATCTGAAGCCGAGATAGAGTGCTTTGAGGAAGACCGACATACAGAGAATTACAGTAGTCCAGTCTAGAAGAGATTAGTGCGTGAATGCCAATTTCAAGATTTTTATTTTTTATTTTAATGGTACATGCACTTTTACAAGTTGATTGTACTGAAATGTGTGTTGGCAGTGCCTGTACACAACCATCATAAAATGATAAAAATCCATCCAGTGTTTTTGTTTTAATCTCCTTATATGTTTCCCCTGCCTCAAATCGAGCCGTTCGAGCCTGTGATGTCACAAGCTCGCACGCCGCTCCCACGATTGTTGATTGACAGCCGGGTTTCAACACAGACCCGCCCTCGCTCGTGAGCCAGCTGTAAATCATAGTCCGCGCGGACCGGCGCGGTCATTGTTGATATGCTGGAGCACTGTCTATGAGCAGAATGGCGTCTAAGCGATTGTGGTGTTCTGTTCTTGGGTGTAATAACGAACACAGTCATTTTAATGTTCCTAAATCCGAACCGCTGAAGACGCAGTGGCTGAGTTTGTTTTCGAAGGGAATATTCCCCACGAGCAACGTCAATGCTTTCATATTTGCGCGAATCATTTCACACACCAGACTGCTTTATAAACGAGGAGGGTCAGTATAAAGCTGGTTTTGCTAAGAAGCTGCTCCTGGACCAGTACCAACTATTCGTGTTCCTGCTGAACCTCCAAAATAACTGAAGTGAGTGTAACGTTTTATTAACCTTTAATATTTATATTAATCTTTGCAAATCGCTAGATGCACGCTTCACAATGAATGCGTCTAAGGTTTACACTCAGGGTACATTACGGCATGTTTTCTATGTACGACGTTCTCAATATAATTCATAATCCCACGTCTATAATGAACAACGCGTTATGGGTATTGTGTTACAAACGGTGTACGCACAGAACAGAGGGGCGGAGTCAGCGAAGCTCATTATCATTTAAAGGCATATGCACTGAAACGGCGTGCTGAAAACAGAGCTGTTTTTGACCAGGTAAAATGAGTGTTTTCTTACAATACTAATGAGAATTTTTAATTAAAGTATATTACAAAGTCTTAATTTAGACTCTAAAGAATCATATTAGCTTGTACAAAAATGGCATTATATGACCCCTTTAAGAGTTTGAAAATAAGAGTTTGATGTACAACATGAGACCTGGAGACCTCTGTCTGTTAGCGTTCCCATTCATCGCAGGGAAAAGGAAATAGAGGCTGAAATATGTACTAAAGATTTACTATGTATATTGCTTGCAGTATATTGTTGAGTTTTGAAAGCTTTTCCTCCTGAACGGCAATACCCCGATCAGCCTAATCCCTAGAGTATGTGATAAATCTGCATTGTAAATGAGTTATCAGTGCATGAATATTTCGCATCCACACAGAGGCAGAGATGCTTTCATAGCGGACGCCTTTTTGGACACAGAGGTCAGAAAATAAACTAATCCACTTCAATCTCTCTCGTTCTGGACGTCACACTAAAAGCTCCTCTTCTGAAAGCAGAATCAATTGGCAATTTCTCTGGGAAGGAAGCGACAGCACTTTAATACTGAACGGATCAGTTCTGCATCCCGCTGATGAAATTTCCCAGAGGATCAAAGTGAGAGAAGCCAAAGATGGCCGGTCCAGAGCGGACCATAAATGATCTTCTGAGAGGAGTGAGGAGCCGCTCCGCTCATCCCTCTAGATTGGACTGAAGCGATCCGTACTGATGCCGTTTGAGGTTGAGCTGTGGTCACTGCGGGATCAGCTCTGCCATCATAATCTATTATCACTTACAGTCACACTGACAGATTAAAACAGCGAGGTACTCGAATGCCTCCGACGGGGCAGATAATCCCGCTGGGAAACACTTCCCAAACAAAGCTGCCGCTCTAAAAATAACACTGTTCCTGACAGGAGTCCTGCGGTAAGCAGTTTCCCTCCAGAACAAGCCACAGATAAACTGTCTGCTGCTATTGCTTTTCATGTAAAGTCCAACACTAGAGGAGTCCCAAAAGAAAGATTATTTGGTGGGATGAATCCTGTTCCTCCAGCTCTAATAACACCCATGATTATAGAAGGAAAACACAAACACAAGCTGCACACAAGCGTTGATGATCATGATTTCATATACAATATATTAATATTTTCATATTCCATTCATCCCTGGTGTGCAGATATAAATCCTGCATTCAAAGATTCAAAAGCAATCAGAATAAAAGTGCACTGTTTTTATATGATTTATTAGCCATTTGGCCGTGATTTCTCCATGAGAGTTGAGAGAGCTGGCCTGAAGCAGAACTGCTGTGTGCCGCAGATATTCACAGCTGAATGACTGTGTGATATATAGCAGAAGTTATGTAAGGTTTCAGGATCAGTGGCTGCTAAGAGGGAATGACTGACATATTCTACTCATTTTTACAGTGTACATAGGGGTGTAACGATACCCTCATGTCACGATTCGATACATATCACGATCCTGAACTCACGATACAATATTATTATACTCCAAAACATATGATAAAAGGTCAACAAAAAATGTAGTTGATTAAAATGCTACATTTAGTTTTACATTGTGGGTGTAAATGAATAGGCTTGGACTTGGTGCTGGAAACCCAAAGCACAGGACAATAGTGACACCAGAATAACAATATTCATGATTCTGAAGCTGAAAATACAGAATTATTTTAGATGAACATGCTTTCACTCTGACTAGATTTATTTAAAATCATGTAGGCCACTTTTTACTAGCCTGGCTGCGCCCTCCTACGCACTTCCGCTCAATTTCATTTTCCTTCAGTACTACGTCTGGGATTCTGCTGTAGACTTTGGTTTTCTCCGATCAATTTTTTGTAGGGCCAATCAGCGAACAGAGGGAGTGGCTGAGAACGTTGTGTGTTATTTTGAGTTGTAGTTCAGTAATGGCAGCGGAGAAAGATGCGAGCGAAGCCATTCGGTCCGTTGTAGCAACGCTGCCGAATATCAAGAAGTTAAAGCCGAGCAAGAACAATCTTTGCTTAGTTTTGTTTTGGCCATGATGTTGTGGCCCTCCTCCCCACGGGGTTCGACATACATCACGAGCAACCTTTAGCGATTGGTGGCAGATCCAGAGTGACTCTGGGCAGATCCAATAGTTTTAGACTTCAATAGAGTACCCGCCTACAAGGAAGTTAACGATTGTCAATGGAGCGGTGCCAGACTCTCTGTTCAAATGAAATGTTCGAGAGTCTCGTAGAACCAGGCTAACTTTTTACAGGTAACATCAGACATTTGGCATTATCAGGACCCACAAATATTCCCCCATTGCATTATTATATATTATATTCAACATTATATATATTAATTGAATGTAGTACTGACACTTCACTTTACTTACACTTTACTTTACACTTTACTTATGTAGTACTGAAACTGTAAACTTGAATTTTTTCCTCACAGTAATTTTTATTTTGGGTGAACTATCCACGATACATATTGCTGCATTTTTGTATTGTGATATATATTGTGGCACGATATATTGTTACACCCCTAACTGTACTTTATCAGTGAGAATCAGCAGAGACGTCAGGAATTGTTACCTGTATGGAGCCGCTGCTCAGACATAGTCAGTCCGTCTCAGGATCCTCCCGTCTCCAGCTGAAGGTGATGATGACACACCTGAGGAGAGGAGAGCATCGGGTGAGCGTTCTCTCATGATCTCTCATGATCATGTGTGAGTGGGACCAACACAGTCACTGACACAATCACATGACTACAGCTTTGTGTCTATGTGTGGGCATCGTGTGCCAAATCATTACATTAGTACCAGACATGCACAGTACATAAAGCTCAGAGGGCAGGATTAAGTGCATTCATTTTAAAGGCCCCCTGAAATCAAAATGTAAGTTTTTTAGCTTTTAGTATGAATATGTTAGCCTTAAGTTTATGAATAAGCTGGTGTGTTCCAAAACAATGACAAAATTCGCATTTAGGAGATTTAAGCATTCAAAACGTACAGTCTCTCACTTTCGCTAAAATGGATCACAAATTTTGATGACATCACGCGGACTTCAGCTTCTCATCACATCTTCTGTCCAATCAAATGCTCTCTAGAATCTAAAGCTCCACCCTCTGCTATAAACACCACCTGACCAAAGCGAGCGTTGACGCGTCACAGAGCAATATGGGTCAGAGATGTGTGTTCGGTGGCTCAAACTCTTCAGTTTTATTACGGTTTCTAACTGTACGCTGGTTAAGAATGAAATGGCTAGAATTTATTCACATCTCTACTGTCGAATCATCAGCATATCATCAGCGCTCCGATTCGCTGCCATGGTGCTGTCAGTCTGTGAGGGAAACTAAATGCTATTGGCTATTTGAAAGGGGGAGGGGCCATTCAATATGTCCCGCCTCTGCCTTAGCTTCCTGTTTCAGTGGAAATTACGTCAATGCATCAAACAAAGCTACGTGTTCCAAGGCACTTCAGTCGGCCTTTAAAGAAATTACTTTTTATACAATTCATTTATTTAATTATTAGATGAATATTTAATACTTCTACAACCTGGGACAGAATTTAATGATAAGAGAAACTCAAGCCTGCTGATGTTATTCAGACTGATGCTGGTCATTTGATCAAACCTCAGGACTGGACATCATGTCATCCTCATCACTAATACCTCAGTGTGAATCAGCCAGGCCTCACAGAATCAGCCTGTGCTGCAGGACTGGGGATGTGTGTGTGCAGCAATGGGTTCTGGGAAGCAGCGGCGTTGGGTTAGAAGGGACTGAATGTGAATGTGGAGTAATGAAAGATAGAGATGACTGGCAATAATGATGAGAGAGGGAGATGAGCAGTGAGTGTCTCTGGCCTGAGGCTGGACAGAGTCTGTAAATCCCTGCGCTTTCTGATGAAGCCAAACCTGTTCTGAGCTCAGTGTTCACAAGCACCACATTAAACCTCACGTCCATCCGCGGACGCAGAGTTCACAGTTCTGGGGATCGGGACATAAAGATGTGGGGGAAACAGGGGTACTGCTTTTAAGACCCCACCAATATCAAGTATTGATATTTAAAAGTATGTTAAAGTGTACTTTTTGACCTGTTGAGGACAGAGTTTCTGCAGGTCTGAAGAGATCCAGCTCCACATTCCTCTCATTTCCAATCGGTCAATGTAAACGAGGGGTGTAAATAAGCCTGTACAGACCTGCCTGTCTCTCTCTTGAAACCAACATGGAAGTGACTTAAACTGCAGTTCCTCCACTGGCCACTGGAGGCCGGCTGCAGAAGAGACTCAATCCCATAGACCCGCATGTTAAAATGTCCATCTTTACAGCAGAAAGAAACATGTTTACAGTCTGGTGGTAAAAGTGGTTTTGGTCTATGTAGCTAATTCTGCCCTTCATGACGACTGTGAGGGGGTGAATTATTTTATAACTTATCTGTTTAAATTATATTAAGCCTTTAAGTTCTGCATAATTAAGGGCGTGGCCACTTGAGTGACAGGTGGATTTCCGTTATCCGGGAGTGACGCGTGGCCAAGATTGCGACAGTGGCTCCGCCCACTTTGGGCTTCAGAAACGCTCTTCAGAAACACTACTGGTGACGTCACGGACACTATGTCCATATTTATTTACAGTCTCTGGTACAGATCTGCTGTTTCCCAGCTGATGTACAGGTTCTGGATCAGGATGAAGCAGAGAGAGAGAGGAGTGTTGAAGCTTCAGCTCAGTCCAGCTGTGGCTGGTCGAGGGTTCAGCGCCCGACTGCGTTATCATTCAGTCTGTGTGCGTTATGAGGGGGATTTGCTGTGATTAATGCTGAGCACACAGGGGTTCATTGTTCTAGAATCAATTTGATTTCAGGGATTTCCATGTGTAAACAGGGTTTAGCGGCACCAGGTGCATCCAGGTGGGAGATACAAGCTTCTTATGCTGTTCCTGTCCTCGGAGACATGGACTGCTGATCATGTTTACTGGGGTCGATGCCCTCAGCTCCTGAGGAGGCTTCAGTCGCCACACACACCTGAACAGTAGTTCTGTATATCCTCACAGACATCCACTCTTACAGAAGAGGAGAGAGAAACAGAGAAAACCGGGTGAAAGGAGACACTGGCTAAACCCTTCAGGGAATATATTACTGAGCGTTCATCAGGAACCGGAAACTAGGCAGTTTCTGTGGCACTTTAAGCCTTTCAGATGTTCCTACCATCATCATGAGCCCAGAGAACAATGTGACTGTGCTGCAGAACTGATCATAATAACATACATTTCACAATCCCTGCATATGAATGGAGACCCAAACAAGATGCAGAATTGAAACTGACAGAAATGCATCTAACTGTGTCATGTTTCCGCATGAAATACTCATATTGCCATCATACACACGACATATGGAGGATTTCTAGAAACACTGGTTATTAAAATCATGTCGTTTTTCAAATAACACTGAATTATTTATTCAATTACTTTCATTTTAAGGATCATGGTGGAAGAACAATTAATTTATAAAATGCTCAATATATTACATAGTCAATAGGTTCAAATATTGTAAATATTTGTAAGTGATGTAAATATTTATTTGTGATGGAAAATCAGTTGATGAAACTGTAGTTGTATCAGGGAATAGTATAATTCAGGAAAAGTATAATTCATCTAAAGTAAAGATTATTGATTATTTATGCAACATGACATCATGACTTTGCGTAAACAATGTACACGCCACTTTCAAGTCAAGTGGCGTGTTATCTATACGCATTTTGAGCTATCCGCGTGTGTGTCCACGCCGAAACGAACCGTCATCTTTTGCGTGTATGTCTACGCCGTTAAATGTCCGAGTGATTCCGCGTGTATGTGTACGTCTTTAAACGTCTGAGCGAAATGAAACAAAATGTAGATCTACATCTGGGGAGCAATATTTTTTTTCCTAGGATGGTAGGGGAAGATTCATAAATGGTATTAACCCCAGTGACGGGTAGGTTTAGGGACGGGGTTGGGGTAGGTCATATATTTATATATACAGTAAAGCAGTGGTCTCAAACTCGCGGCCCGCGGGCCGTGATATTTTGTGGCCCCCTACTTGACATTAAAGTTTAATGTTAGTGCGGCCCGTCGTTGCGTGTGCGGCGTTTAAAAAAAAAAAAAAAAAAGTATCCCTTATGGGCTACCACAGATAGTCTCGTGACAGCTTACGGTGGGTTTGTTGTCAATAGTTGTCATAGACAACCGCGAAGTACAAACATACTGCGCCCCGACTGTGTCTGGAAAAAATGAGCGCGTCGCTTCAATTATGAGCGCGCTTGCCGCGCGCCTACATTTGAAATAACGAACTTGAGCGCGCAAAATATGTGAGCGCGATATGTGAACGGCCCCTTGTCGAGCTGCCACCAATCAGGCCTCGAGCTACTGGCAGCTCGCGAGCGACGTGTTGGAGAGAGACCCTGCCCTAAAACAATGTGAGAATAAACATTTTGAGCTTGTAATATGTGTCCAACAGGTTGATAAGAAGGTTTGCTTTGATTTGTGCAGTCAGTAATTTGAGACACTATACATGTGTAGAAAGAATTCAATAAGACGGGCAGACATGACTGCAAATATTTACATTTCAAAAGCAATAATTGTTTTTCTAAGTATAATAAAAGGAAATGTGCCTTCCAAAAAAAACATTCAATATCATTAATGTGTTGTATAAATAAAATAAAAAGGACATATTAAGCAAATATAAATATCACAAATATGTGTTATAGACAAAGAAAGTTTGTAAAAATGAACTTCAACTGTCAGAAGGACAGCTCATGAAGAACCAATCATGTACAGAAAGGAATGTTCTAATTCAGAGGAACAGTTCAGAGGAAACGTTAATAAGAAATATTGAGAAGATTGGATCAGTTGTGCTCCTTTTTTGGAATACTTGAATACTATTATTTTGTGGAATACTTGATGCGGCCCAGCCTGACCCAGACTCTACCTCCAGCGGCCCCCAGTTAAGTTGAGTTTGAGACCCCTGCAGTAATGTAACGTTAAGTCAAAGGCGTTGATAAACACGCTGAAAAGCGATTATGCGTGTTGATAGCACGCCAAAAATGGAAATACGAATTGGCGTGTCATACATACGCCATTTCATGAGATCAGTCTGATTTATTAGTGTGTTGGACTAGTGAAATTCATCTCTTGTGTGGGTTGAATTTCCTTAAATTCCTGTTTCTGTCATTTCAATTCACATTCAGTTCAATAAACATGCTAAATCAAACAAGACGCTACACAATCATTTGCTGAGCTTTCCGATCGGAAACGTGAGGTGAAGGAGCAGCCGTCTGTTTCTTCTCACGCTTCGCTCTGATTCACTGGCCAGTGGTGAAAAGCACTGCAGTAAATGTTATTAGAGGCCTGCATTTCAGCCCGACGGGCCCTGACTTATTTACGCTTCTAGGGCCGGGCTTCGGGCCAATTTTCACGTCATAGTTCACACGCGACCCGGGCCTCGGGCCTGTTTTAGGCTTATCTTTTTTTATAGCCTATTTTAGACATTAATTAAAATAAAATATGAGAAGATGACGATTGAAAAGCAAACATAGAAAGACGTTTTATAACCTATCACACTGACATGACTGACACATGACAGTCTGCTCACGCACACAGGTTTCCCGGCGGGGCGATCTGAGATTCGCGCGACCGGCTCGTTCGGTGTTTAGTGT